ATTTTAAGTTTGACCTGCCACCCTTCAGTACGTTTTCACAAATGTTTGAAATATCATGGAGTCAGAACTGAGAAATCCTTACAGACTGAGTTTCCTACACATGTATTGCATTATATAAAATCCCACTATGCTCATCTTTCCTAACTCCAGGTGTATTTGCTACCATTTTTTTCAAAATGTTACTTGGGTTTATTTCTATGGACATGTTTGGACTGACAGCAGATTATCTACTGCTGGAAATGTCTGCAATTTGAGGCTTCCTATATCTGACCAACCACAATAAATAGGGGTTGTCACAGTGGTGGAAAAAAGTTTTGCTCAAGTACAAAACTAAAGTATAGCAGCATTTTCTGAGTTCACAGATTCAGAACTGTGAACGAATGACACATACGACTGGTTTTTAACAATGTAGGTGAGATTGCTCGATGAGAAATGACCTTAAATACGACTCTACAGGCCTAAAGCTCTCAGTGGTTTGCAGTTTAACTCTGATTTTACTGGCAGCTCTCAAGTAGGTTGGTCATCATCAAGTCGATAACTAGCCCATTCAAAAGTTCACATATTCACTATTTTCAGTTTTGAGGCGGATACAAACATGATCGAAAAAGTTTCTAAACTACTTGCATGCTTTGTTCAGCAGGACTTTAACCACATATCAACACCACTTTAGGCTTTTTCTTCTAAAGGCTAAGCTAATGTTGGGCTATAAAGGAACTACAGCACGGTCACATGACTTCACGTCACCACCGCTAAGCTAATGGCGGCTAATGTTGGGCTATAAAGGAACTACAGCACGGTCACATGACTTCACGTCACCACCGCTAAGCTAAAGGAGGCTAATGTTGGGCTATAAAGGAACTACAGCACGGTCACATGACTTCACGTCACCACCGCTAAGCTAATGGCGGCTAATGTTGGGCTATAAAGGAACTACAGCACGGTCACATGACTTCACGTCACCACTGCTAAGCTAAAGGTGGCTAATGTTGGGCTATAAAGGAACTACAGCACGGTCACATGACTTCACGTCACCACTGCTAAGCTAAAGGTGGCTATTGTTGGGCTATAAAGGAACTACAGCACGGTCACATGACGTCACGTCTCCACTGCTAAGCTAAAGTTGGCTAATGTTGGGTTATAAAGGAACTACAGCACGGTCACATGACTTCACGTCTCCACCGCTAAGCTAAAGGCGGCTAATGTTGGGCTATAAAGGAACTACAGCACGGTCACATGACTTCACGTCACCACCGCTAAGCTAAAGGTGGCTAATGTTGGGCTATAAAGGAACTACAGCACGGTCACATGACTTCACGTCTCCACCGCTAAGCTAATGGTGGCTAATGCTGGGCTATAAAGGAACTATAGCACGGTCACATGACGTCACGTCTCCACTGCTAAGCTAAAGTTGGCTAATGTTGGGTTATAAAGGAACTACAGCACGGTCACATGACTTCACGTCTCCACCGCTAAGCTAAAGGCGGCTAATGTTGGGCGTGATGACGTTTTTTCGTCTCATTTAGACACCTGTTAGGAACCTCCGATTTTAAAATTCACCAGTGGGGTATTTACTGACATATTTGATGTCGTAGAATAAAATGATCTTCAGTTGGTGTTAACCACAGACGTTATGTCAGGTTAACAACCAGAAACACACTAAAAATGTCCAGACGGAGGGAACAGGAAGTGATCAAATGCTGACTAATTTCTGTGTTTGAGCACTGCACCACTCTATTTAATCATCAGTGTCATAATTAAGGACTATTACACAGTTTTAAAGCAGCTAAAAGGAGTCAGACACGGCTGTCTGTTGTTAGGCGAGGTCACCTAAGCCACTTTATTTCCTTTCATTCAACGCACCTGTGTTGTCAAGGTAACCACAGCTGATGGAATGGGATGCTGCATTAGTCCATTTGCAACTGGTGGTCATAAATCACTAACTGTTACCCTGTTTGTTGTTTATTAGCAAAAAAGGTTGTTTCAGCGGCTGCTGAGGCGGCTGCTGCTAATGAGAACCCCGAGGTGATGATGGACAACAGGTGTGTGTGTGTGAGGGATGCGTGTGTTAATGTGTGAGAGCGCACGCACGCACACACACACACACACGTGATGCAGGGCAGGATGGCAGAACACCCGGTAACCAACAGATTTTACGGGCCCAATTTTTCATAATCCATCTGCTGTGTTTCTTACATGCAAAAAAAAAGGGGATTGGATAGCAATTACAATTCCCTTAATTAAGACTAAAAACCATGAAAAAAAAAACCAGAACAAAATATCACAAATATATAATCATAAATTTGCCCTAATATTATAATTGTAATCATATATAATAGGTCTTCAGTGCTTTTTTGACTTATTGATAACATTAGACTTAAATACGAGCACTTATGGATGGATTTTTATCATATTTAAATGTTATTAAATGGATTATAACACACCCTTAAGCCAATTTATAAATGTGATGTGCTTTTTATGAAATGTTAAAAGATAAGAACAT